AGTGAGTGAGTGAGTCACTGAGTGAGGCAGTGAGAGAGTGAGGCAGTGAGTGAATGAGACAGTGAGAGTCAGTGAGTGAGTGAGTGAGTCACTGAGTGAGGCAGTGAGAGAGTGAGGCAGTGAGTGAATGAGACAGTGAGAGTCAGTGAGTGAGTGAGACAGTGAGTGAGTCAGTGAGTGAGTGCAAAGTTTTTATAAAGGTGTATTTTTCTTTTGATAGCAATTCAAAGTTATATAGATATTTAAAATACTCTTGTCCATGATTGGGGGATAAGTGATTTTCCTCATTAGATGATTTGAGATTTTTAAAAACCTAATTATGTTGTTTACAAAGCAGCATTCTGGCCACAAAAAAATTTTAAAAACATACTTTAACCCTAGACATTTTTGAATATTTATAATCTTATGAAAATATAATCATATATTGAAAATAAATTACAAAACAAGCAATAACTGATAAACTTTGGTACAGATGTCTCTTTAGAACTAAAAGTGAGAACAATTAGTAATTGATATTAAGCTTTTTACTGTTAAATGCAAAGCAATTATTTGAACATGTGACACATTTATTCACCATATTAAGGTACCACAGTTGACACTAACCTGAAAACTCCAGCCCATTTCTTAAGCAGTGTTTCACTGTATTGATCTCTTATTTCAAATAAAAGGTCAAAAAGTCGGTTCACTGGAAAACCATAACCCTAAAATAAATAAGAAGTCATTCAGTCAAGAATAGGAAAAAATATATTTTAAATGTTGAGACTATCGAAGAATCATTTGGAAATGATTGACAAAGCACAAGGATACCCTGACTTTCCTCTACATTTCATTAGGTGGGGAGAGGTCTGGAAAGTTTCACGGGACAGAAATCATTTTTCCATGCCTCTCGTTTTAGTCAAGACTACAATTGCAGCCTTCTAATCTATTCTTCTAACTGTTGCTGGGTGCCACGGAGTTAATTTTGACTCCTAACAACTCTGTGGGACAGAGGAGAACCGCCCGACGGCACTTTCTAGGCTGTCACCTTTACATGAGTCGATCACTATGATCTTTCTCCGGAGGAGCAGCTGGATAGGTCAGGTTAGTACCTGAGCCCTTCATCACTGCGCAGAGAGGGCTCCTTAAAAGGTCCTAAAATAAACCCAAACTCACTGCCATTGAGTCAATGTGGACTCATAGAGACCCCCTGTGGGTTTCTAAGACTTTGATTGTTTACTGGAGTAAAAAGCCCAGTCTTTCTCCAGAGGAGCTTCTGGTGGTTTTGAATGGCTAATGATGTAGTCCAAAGCCCAACTACATAACCATTACCCCTTAAAATGTGCTAGAAGTCAGGAAAGTAAGACAATTCCAGATTCAACAGCATCTAAGAGAACAAAATACTCAGCAGAAGTTTGTTTGTTTACCAAAAACCTTAACAAAGCTTATCATTTGCAGACAGAGTATTACAGACTCACTGTCACAACATTTAAGGGATTTTAAAAACCCACATACTGTAATGTCATGTAACAAAGATGTCAGGGCATAAGATAATTTACTGCAGGAGCTTGTGGAACAGTCTCTTTGAGTTCGGGGATGTAGAAGACAATTAGTCTCTGATGGAAAGACTTGAGATAGAGCAAAGAGTATAAATCAGCATTTCACTAGATGAAGCTAATGTGCCTGTAAGAGATGTTCTAAGAGGAGAGAAAAGATTGTAGGGTCTAATACACTAGGAAACTGCTACAGAAGCAAATCCTAAGAGGAGAGAAAAGATTGTAGGGTCTAATACACTAGGAAACTGCTACAGAAGCAAATCCCTTTTGCCAATCTTTGATGTAAATTTTCTCCTAGTAATATAAGATACAATCATAATTTATAAATTATTAAGGGTGCATGGGGGAGAGGGGAGGAGGAAGGGAAGGGGAGGGGGGGGGAAAGGAAAATTAGCGGGTTCCGGGAACCCAAGAGGCTAGCGAATTTTGGGAATGATGAGGGCAACAAATGTATAGATGTGCTTTACACAATTGATCTATGTATTGTAATGAATTGTATGAGCCCCAATAAATTGATTTAAAAAAAAATTTTTCTCTAAGAATGGTTCTTGGTGGAGAAATTTATTTCACTTCACTTGCCCTTTCCAAACATTTGGAACCACATAATCCTTTTTAGGTAATATTTACTATCATATTTTGGAAAATGCTAGTTGTTTGTCATAAAAAGTTACTCACAACCTTAAAATTCCACAAATTAAACATGAAAACAAAAGGTAATAAAATTTCTATTACATGAGATCTAGAAGGGGATACAAGTTGGACATCAATATTGTAACACTGAAAATCATAAGGACAGTTAATTTTTGTCAGTAATTCCACTTTAATCTTATTTTAAGCTACCAAGCTACAAAGTCATCATGGAATGCTTGGCATACTTGAATTATTGAGTTAAAAAAAACAAACAAACCAAAGAGCTATCATGGAACTCCAGTAGAGCTGTCAGGTAAGTGTTGGACTGCTAACTACAGGGTCAGCAGTTCAAATCCATCAGCTGTTGCACATGAGAACGATGAGGCTGTCTGCTTCTGTACAGATTGACAGCCTCAAAAACCCTAAGTAAGGTTGCTACAAGTTAGAATTGATTAGATGTCAGTGAGTTTATAACTATCATATTATGTAGTTTCATATATATTTAAAACTCCAAACAATTCTGAAAACTAGTAATTAATAAAGCCATTTTAACAAATGAGAATCTAAGGCAGTTAGTCAGCAGTAGAGGCAGAGTATAAAGGGTCTTGGTAATTCTAGAATCCATGCACCTGCCCCAAGGCAGAACTTTAACATCCTGCTGCCCCCACCCCAAAGTCTAATCTAAGATTCTTTCCATTATACCATAGATCGTCTACTTTTTTAACAGCAAAATCACTGCATTCTAGCTGAATCAGAACAATATTTTAAAAATTGGTATTCTCTCAGTCCTGTTCAAGTTTCAGAATTGGAAGGAATTGGTATAAATAGGTCAAGGTATCTGGGAAGTACAAACACATACATAAACAATGTGGTTGCACTAGTTTACTACCATAGATCTATAATAAAACAAATGGTTATTATTGTTAAATGCTATCAAGATAGTTCCAACCCATAACTACTTGATGTACAATAAAATGAAACTGTTCTGTACCACCTCACAATTGTTCACTGTGAGCCCACTGTGTCAGTCTACCCCATTGACGGTCTTCCTCTTTTTCAGTGACCCTCATGCACGAGGGCCTGCTCCAGGGTCTAACCCATCCCAGTAACAGGTCAGAAATGAGTGGGACACAGTCTCACCACGCTTACTTCTCAGGAGCATTCTGGCCAGACTTATAAGGCAGGTGGGCTGTTCTTCCAGCAGGCCATGGTATAGTAGACATTCTTGACCTGCACCATCATTCAAAGCCATTAATTATTCATTGCCCAGCTTTTGTATATAAATAAGGCAATTGAAAAATATCATAGCTTGGGTCAGGTGCACTTAAGTCCTCCAAGTGACATCATTGCTTTTTAGCCCCATAAAGAATTCTTTCGCAGATTTTCCCAATGCAATACTCAGTTTGATTTTTTTTTCATTTATGGTTTTATTTAGCACAAATAAGACTCGCAAATGGGCCATCTACTCATTTTCTTCACTGCGCAGCCTGGCGTTGGGATTGGTGACTGATGGCCAGCTGGGCTGCTCTTTCTACAATGGCTTTGTGATTCTTGGAGGAAACGTGGTGAGCAATCTCTGCATAGTAAGACTTGTTGCACATCAGCAGCACTTCCAGCTCCTTGACGTTGTGGACCAGGAACTTGCGGAAGCCACTGGACAGCATGTGCTTGGTTTTCTTGTTGCTCCCATAACCAATGTTGGGCATCAAGATCTGGCCCTTGAATCTTCTCCGCACCCTGTTGTCAATGCCTCTGGGCTTACGCCAGTTGCGCTTAATCTTGACATAGTGGTCGGATTGGCGCCAGATGAACTTCTTGGTCCTCTTTTTTAGAATTTTAAGCTTCACCAAGGGTCTGAGGGCAGCCCTGATGCCGGTGGGAGATGGCTGCCTCCTCTGTAGGCAGCGCTGAAGAAGAGAAGGGGCTCAGTTTGATTTCTTAACGTTTGACATTGATTGTGGGTCCAAGGAAAATGAAATCTTTGACAACTTCAATCTTATCTCCATTTATCATGATGTTGCTTACTAGTCTAATTATTTGTGTTGAGGTGTAATCCATACTGGCAGTTGACGTCTTTAATCTGCATCAGTAAGTACCTCAAGTCCCCTTCACTTTCATTAAGCAAGATTGTGTCATCTGCATGTTTCAGGTTGTCTTCCAATCCTGATGCTGCATTTCCCTTAAGATAGTTCAGTTTCTTAGATAATTTATTAGCATACAGATTGAACAAGTATGGTGAAAGGATACAACCTTGATACACACACCTTTTGGGTCAAATTGTTGTCCTTTGGTTTATGTACAGTTTCTGCATGAGCGCAGCAAAGCATTCTAGAATTCCCATTCCTCAAAATATTATCCATAATTTGTTTTGATACACAAAAATGCCTTTCCATAGTCAATAAAATACTCAACATCCTCTGTCACAACAAGGTAAAGGAGCCAATGGGTCATCAATTGTTTATATGTGAGTTCAAGTTAAAACTAAGAAAAATTCAAACAAGACCACAGAGCCAAAGTATACCCTCGCTGCAATGAGAGACCATCTCAAGAACCGACGCGCTGCACTGAATACAAGTGATTGAAGCCCCGAGTAGCGGGGGTGGTATCAAGGACATCAAGAATATAAAAACGAGATTTGAGCTGTCTTACAGGGGCAGGGAGTTAATTCCAGTAATTCTAGTAAATCTCTGTAATTCCCACCAAACAACCTTCTTCTGCATGGGTCTGAATAAGGTGGGGGAATACACCAATAGGATTCACCAGTGAGTAACTGTTAACAAGGCTAATTGTGATTGCCATCAGTCTGAGTATAAAACAAGCCCTCGGAGAAGCAGAGGGGGGATCTTACCACCAGCAAACGCCAAGAGTGAAGCCTGTGAACCCAAGATCCCTGTGCAGTGAAGCTCCTGGATCCTGAAGACAGAGCTGTGACATCAGAGGATTGGCAGAGGAGCAGCAGCAGAGCCAGAAGCCAAAGCATGAGACAGAGTGTGGTAGGCTTCCCAGCCCATAGAGCAGGTAAAGCTGAATGCTTCTGGGCAGGAGACCGGCTTGTGGAGTTGGGTGCTTCTGGGCACTTAATCGGGGGAACGGGGTTTGCTGACCCATGGAGCAGAAGCTGAGAACCTTTGGGTTGAGGCTTCAAGTGAAGTAGCATGCCCTTTGAGAATTTATTAGCAGGCCTGAAATAAGTTTTTAAGATTTCCTGACTGATCAGCTGTATCCTGAGCACTGTTCACATTCATAAGCTGTTAACGTCCTTCACAAACCCTGTGAATTGTGAGCACTGTGAGTTCTGTGTGGCCATTGCACTGTAATTACAGAGCCAAGTAGATAAAAAAGTAGAGTGCTGTGAAAGATAGTGAAATAAAGGTAGGGAATGGTGTGTGAGATAGACTATGTCTATATTTGGTATCTTTTTAAGTGCTCAAAATAGCTATTGTTTTAAGGTAAGAATATCACCCACCTGCAGGGTATCTGCAAATATTACAATGAGATTCTTCAGCTCCAAAACAAGATCAGGGTCTGTGCAATAAGACTGTAAGGTCGGGTGTAAAAATACAAGGAAAAAGCACTTGTTTAAAAAGCAACTAAGAAATCAAAGTGTAAAAATATAAAATATATATATATATATATATTTTGTAATCTGCCAAACTTAAAATAAACCTACTTAGATCATTAACAAGTTTTCACTAGTCAGTAAAACTTCTCAGGGAAAAATCATAACATGACATACCTAAAGTAACTCAATCATACGGAGTTTTTTTTCTTGAAATGTGTACATACTAAACTTTGGTCAAAGCAATGATACTTATACTTCTAAAAGTCTTTAGAGTATAAGGAAAGAGTTTTCTTGAAATTAAAAAAATTGATTTCTATATAGTCCATGTATTTTTTTTAATTGTAAAAATATAGCTAACATATCTGCCAATACCACATTTTCCTGTGTCCAACTTAGGGACCCCAATTACAGTCTTCGCGTTGTACAGCCTTCACCATTACTATGGCCAAGTTTCCCGCCATCGTGGCAAGAACTTTGCAGAACTTATGCAGGTTCTCAATGTATAAAAGAGACACATACCAAGCGACTTCAAAAAGTTATGAATAAAAAGATACTGGGAGTTTAAGGGGCTTCAAAAGTTTCTGAAAAATACTCTGTTAACTTTCAATTACACTTTTACAAGAGCTTTCTGAAACTCTCAATATATTTTTTCAATATAGGAATGGCATATTTAAATATGAGTAATTCACAAAAGATTGTTAATTTCAAATGAATCGTAAAACTTACTTTATACTCAAGAATAGCATAAAATTTTGAGAATGTTACTTACATTTATTATGACCTAACTGAACTAATAAGAAGTACACTAAAGTTTAAGTAGCCCACTCCACAGGAGAACAAAATAGAAGTTGGATTCTGTAAAGATTTACAGTCTTGACAATCCTGGGCGGCAGTTCTCTCTGTCCTATTGGGTCACTCCACGTCAGACTCTACTTGATGCCAATGGGTAAGTTTTTTTGGGGGTATACTATAGTTTGGGATATACTAAAATATTCAGAACTGAATATAAATCATGGTAAAGTATGCATTATTTCATTAATATGTTGGAAAACATGGATCCACTGAAAACCTTGGTCCATTGGTTAAATAGTGGTATCAAGAGTTCACATTTCTTAAATTAAAATGTCATATAGTTATTAGCTAGATATCGTGTAAAACAATCTTCCTTCAAAATATTTTAAATCTCTTATAAATATTAAGATTACAACATGGGGAAATTTTTTCAAAAGGGAAACTACTAAAATACCTTAAGGAAAGGTCTACAGTAAGCAAGTGTTACTTTCAATAATTTTTCTTCTATTAGCGTATTTATTATTCCCACAAAAGGCATATTGAAAACCATTTGATCACTTTACCTTAATCCATAAAGATTTGTTATTTCAAAATAAGTTTAAATTCTGACAATTTCATATTTTAAAGAAATTCATAATTGTAGTGTACTACTACAAACAAATTGTACACATCAGAAAACATGTTCTGTTGAGTTTTAATTGTGGGATTTATTTTTGAAACAAAGAATTTGAAATGATAATTAAAAACCCATTCTGTACAGTGTTGCTCAATGATATAAAGAGGTCAGTTGAGACTGATGAGCCCAACTAATTCTTCATTTTCAAAAAAACTCGACTAAAACTGTCTTGGGATTTCCCAGTCTGTTGCAAAAATGCAGGACAGTATTAGACAAACCAAAGCCTGGCATTACTAAATCTGAGTAAATTACCAAAAAAGCACAGCATGATGAAGATCTAGTTTTCTCCTGGTCCTATGCATTTCAGAAGTTCTTGGAGTAACTGAATTAAACAGATGGTAACACCACTTGTCTGACTTACTGAGTGAGCTCTAAGGACAGCAATTATCTTTGAGAGGGCCATGTTCCAAAGTTCATCAGTGTATGCCCTGGTGACCAGTCCTTGGGTCACGTGTAAAATATGATCTTCCACCACAAAGAACCTAAAAGAATTATAACCGACATAACATGCTTATAGAAAGTCACATAAAATAAATATTGCTGCCATTTAATATAAAATTATGATAGAGTAATTTACATATTAGATACGTACCCTACAATTTGAGTGAAATATCTTCTATAGCCATCAACTGTTTCATGCTTTAAATAAAAAATAGAAATTAATTTAAATGAAACAAATACCAGTAACATAAAAAGTAAGCTCCAAGTCACCATAACACTCATTCACTTAACAAATATTTATTGAGGGCATACTATGCCTGCTGTATACTTCTGTAGGCATGAGGGAAGCGCTGGTAAATAATGAGAAGTCTTTACCCTTGTGTAACTTGTATTTGAAGGAGTTGATCGGTAACAAACTAGTAACTAAGATTTCAGAACCCTATTCTCAGTATAAACTAGGTCACACCATCATCTGGGGGTCCACTGGGCAATGACTTTATCCTTCTAGCTAGTCTCCCTAACTTCCCCATTTGTCCTGTACAGGCTATTATCCATATAGCAGCCAGAGGAATATTGTCAAAGTAGTAATCAGGTCTTCATATCTTCTGTGAAAAACCCTCTAGTGGCCTTTCCTCTGGTAACGGTCACTCCTTTCAGGAGTCTGGTAACTCCTAAAAGATGGCCTACAGTTATTTACTGTTTAGAACTTGAGCATCATACACGTATTTACCACTTACACAAAAGACAAACTAGGAAAATAGGTGATTATTTGAACTTACATTAATAAATATTTAGAACATGAAATCTTTCATTTCAACTAATTTCACATATATTAAATATATGTTACTATTTTTATATGTTTCGTAAATATGACCATAAATTCCAAACCTGAGTTTTTTCCCTCTGCGTTTTTGAGAGGGGTTATTACTTTTTAAGGAGCCCTGTACAAGTTGGGCTGCTAACTACAAGGTTAGCAGTTCTAAACCACAAGCTGCTCCTCAGAAGAAAATGAGGCTTCCTGCTCCCATGAAGTTTTACAGCCTCAAAAACTCCCGGGGACAGTTCTCATCTGTCCTGAGTCGCTAGGAGTTAGAATCGACTCAAGGGCAGGGAGTGATTTCTTTTTAGCTTAACAACTATGAACAGCATATGCGACTGAACACACTGTCTAAATGGCACCACAGCTTCCATCTTTCTTGACGGTTGCTTTCTAATGCCGTGTGTAGCAATGGTTTTTAGAATGTTCTAGTAGTTGTGCTTAAGAGGAATGTACCTTTACAGTTGCTAGGAAGAGAATTTGATATATTCCAGCCAACCAAGCTTGTTAATAACATTCTGTATTCTTTCTTACTAAATATTGGTCTGCTTAGTGCATAAGTTAATGAATGAAATTATTTTAAAATCTACTAGCAGATTTTTCTATTTCTCATTGTACTTATGTAAAGTTTGCTTTAACTAACTTGACTCAATATTTTTAAGTGCTTACAGGTTTAGAATGATCATACTGAGCTGCTAACCACGAGGTCAGCAGTTCAAAACCACTAACCTCTCTGCAGATAAAGATGAGGCTTTCTATTCCTGTAAAGAGTTTCAGCCTCTGAAAACCCCAAGGAAAGTTCTGTCCTGTCCTAGAGAGTCACTATGAGTTGGAATCAACGCAATGGCACTAATAACTTTAAGGCACATGAATACTTATCATTCTATCCTTGTACTCTTTACTATATCAAAGTTATATGCTGTTTCTATTCTGTTGGAGGTTACTCTGGAAAATGTATTATACACTGTTAGGTAAGCAGACTCTTAAAATTGGGAATTTTGTTCTTCTTCTGGACACTTTTGAAACTATAGAATAATCTAGTTTCTTTAATTTGCATCCCATCCAATGTTTACATGTTGTTGTATAATTTAATTCTATCTTATTTTAAGAACTACAAAACTACTGATATTATTTTATAGAGTCACTACAGATTTATGCACGTATTGCCACTTCCTCTGCTGTTCACTTCTTCCTTTATCTCGTAGCGAACTTCAAATTGGTATGAATCAATTCCATCACGGCCGATGCAGCAAACTGGGACAGTCACACAGTTTTAAATGTGAACATAGTGCAACAAGAATCAGAATGGGGAAATTTGAGGGTCAGAGCCCTGTTATGAGAGACTTGGGAGAGGTAGTGAATGCTTTCACAAGCCTGATGCAAAAGACAAAATTATCGCCAAGGCTGTGGAGAATGACACACATTCAAAGTGGTACAGTCATCACTCAGCTTTGAGCTGGGCACCACTGTTTTTTACTCTGCTGCTCAAGAGATTTGCTTGTTGTGCAACTGAGTTTCTAGCCGAGCACTGACCTGTAATGTCCCCCTTTCTGGCGATCATTCCTAGTGACCCACATTTTATCAATTTGGGACTATTCTGGTTTCACTTCATCAGCCATGACTGAACTGAGAAGAACTGATTCAATGCCCTGATGTCAAATTTCCATTTGATTTCCCTTTCTCTTGCCTGAAGCCATCCTTTAGGGCTTCCTTAGTAAGGATCTGTTGGTGTCAAACTGCTCTTTGTCTGAAAATATCCATCTTTGCTCCCGCTTCACTGGATATAAAATCTTAGGTTGACAGTATTTGTCAAAATTTACAAATTAACAATTAAAAGATAACTCCATTTTTTTAAATGCCCCAAATAATTGAACAGATAATTCACTAAAGAGGGTATTCAAAAGGCTACATGTACATTAAAAGAGGCTTACCCTCATTAGTCATCGCTGTTGGGTGACATCAATTTGTTTCTGACTCATAGCGACTGTGATAGTTAGGTTTCTTGTGCCAACCTGGCCAATAGGAACATGTGGGAATAATCAGGTTGCAGTTTGATTAGAGGACAACGAGATAAATGGCTCTGCAAGGCCTGCCGCCTCCCCCCACCCTCTTGCTCTCTGGTGTGCTGCAGCATGCTGCTGTTTTAGCTAGTTCTCTGGTACAACCTGTGAGCTACACTGCTGTGGGCCAGGCCAACCTGTGTATCATGGATCCTATCTCTAGAGCTTGAGGCTCCTTCGAAACCTGCTTCACCATACTGCTGGTGTATACACTGTGTGAGCTAGAGGCTGGTGGATCCTATCACCCTGCATTGCTTGTGTTCAAGATCCCATCCGGGCCTGCTTTGCTAAGCTCCCAAGCTACTACTATTGGTGACCCATCCTGCTGTTTGCTGCCTGTGAGCAGACTCTGCTTGCCTTCCCTGAGGGAGGACTCTACTGTCTGCTTCCTTGACCTTGGACCCAGCAGCCCATGTGAGTTGAGGGACTTTCGATTTATTAACTGTTCCATGGAAATGAGTTGAACTGAACCCTCTGTCCTACTGTGTGGACTAATTAAATGTTATATTCCTTCTCGCTGTATAAACCTATCCTCATATATATATAATTCTAAGTGTCCTGGTTTTGTTTCTCTAGAGAACCCCGCCTAACACCGTGACCGTAAGTGCAGCCGAATGAAACACTGCCCAATCCCAGACCATCCGTACAACTGTTCTGTGTGTTGCAGCCACTGGGTAAGTCCATACCACTTAGGTCCTTCCTCTCTCACTGGATCTCTATTGGACCAAACACAGTGTCCTTTTCCAGATACAGGTTTCTCCTGACAACATGTCCAGAGTATCTGAGCCCAGTCTACCATCACCTCTTCTAAGGAACACTGAAGTAAAAACACACGCACTGCCCGCAAGTCCGTCTTGACTCATGGCGACCCTACAGGACAGAGTACGATGGGTTTCTGAGACTGTAATCTTTACAGAAGTAGAAAGCCTCACCTTGCTTCCATGGGAGGCTGGTGGTTTTGAACAACTGATCTTGCAGTTCATAGTCTTATGCTTAACCCTTTACACCACCAGAGCTCTCAAAGAGCCATTAGAAAGATGCAAATCAAAATCACAAATTAAATACTACCTCACTCCTATCATAATGGCAATGACGGAAAAACAAAAAACCCCAGAAAGCAAGAGAGGTTACTAGGTTGTGAAAAAACTGGAACCCTCACTAAATGCTTGTGGGAGTGTTACAGCTACTGTGAAAAAGTTTGACAGAACTGAACACTGAACTACCATGTAAGGGAGCAACGCCAAAGCCAAGTCCATACACAGAAAGAGTGAAGGCAGGAATGCTAACAGAAACCCGAACACTCACATTCATTGCCGCACTTTCCACAAGAGCCAAAGAGCGGAAACAAGTGAAATGTCCATCAACAAATAAGGGGAAAAAACGTGTAGTACATATACACGATGAAATACTACTCAGCCACAAAAAAGAAACGAAGTTCTGACGTCTGTCACAACACAGATGAACCTTGAAAACTTCCTGCCGAGCAGATTAAGTCACAGTAGGACAAATACTACAAGATCTCTTACATGAAATAAACGAATAAACAAACGTTCAATATTTTATGCAGCCAACTTTCTTTTTCCTGTGGGAAGGCTAACCACGGTACAGATGGCTCCATATTTTCAGGCAAATCTCTTCTTTTCATAGCAATTACCACTCCCTGACAGTTCATATATTTTCTTTTTTCTTGTTAGCTTTCTATTTATTCACTGTTTCTTTTATAAGTTCACTGCCTATCTTCATTGAAAAATGTCAGTGCTCATAAGAAAAGGCATCATTAGAACAAAAAATTTTACCATAGTGAATGATGGGGGGAGTGCGGAGTGGAGACCCAAAGCCCATTAGTAGGCCACTGGAGATCCCCTTGCAGAGGGGTCTCGGGGAGGAGACGAGCCAGTCAGGGTGCGATGTAACAACGATGAGAAATACAACTTTCCTCTAGTTCCTTCCAGCCCCCCCACCCTCCCACTATCATGATCCGAATTCTACCTTGCAAGTCTGGCTAGACCAGAGGATGTACACTGGTACAGATAGGAACTGGAAACACAGGGAATCCAGGGTGGATGATCCCTTCAGGACCAGTGGTGTGAGTGGCGATACTGGGAGGGTAGAGGGAGAGTGGGTTGGAAAGAGGGAACCGATTACAAGGATCTATATGTGACCTCCTCCCTGAGGGATGGACAACAGAAAAGTGGGTGAAGGGAGACATCGGACAGGGCAAGATATGACAAAATAATAATTTATAAATTATCAAGGGCTCATGAGGGAGCGGGGAGGGAGGGGAAAAAATGAGGACCTGATGCCAGGGCCTTAAGTGGAGAGGAAATGTTTTGAGATTGATGAGGGCAATGAATGTACAAATGTGCTTTACACAATTGATATATGTATGGATTGTTATAAGAATTGTATGAGCCCCTAATAAAATGGTATAAAAAAAGAGCAAACGTAGCTATTGTTCTGAGATATAAGAATATCTTAGCATGAGATCCTCAGGGAAACAATAAAAGGATATAGAATATATATATTATATTATATATATAAAAAAGAAAAGGCACTAGGGACCTTAGTGCCTGAATCAAAGGGTAGACATGGGAGGTGTACAATAAATACTTGTTGTCGAATGAACAGTGACTCGTGCTCTAAAGAAATCAAAGCAGGGCAAAGGAGTCAAGTGACAACACAACCACTTCAAACATTTCGCACACTCACCATATTTGATTGGGGTTGCAAAACCAGTCTTGCCTGCTTCTTTCTTTGTTTTCGGTAATAATTTTCAAATGTTTCCTCATTGCCCTAAAATATAATCAGTAGAATAATGAAAAGCACAACATACAACACACCTGAAATATACATGCTGACTGCCATTTCACACCAAAGATCCACAGGCATGCTTTGGCATTATACTTCAAAGAGAGTCATCTTGTTTGGTATCATGACCATTGTTAGCAAGATTGAAGTTAAATTCAAACAGTTTGGCACTTACTCAAATTATCACTTAGGTTAATAGAATTTTACCCAAAGTCAAGGGGTGGGACCCTCATCCCAGTGGCCCTGCAGAGTGGGGCTGACCCCAGGGCGGAGGGGCTTCAATGCCCTAAAGAACAGAATATTATTTTCAAGCCTTAAGAGCTAGTCAGAGTGTGCCCTACTGGGTCTTAAAACGTGCTCTGTACCCATGACTTCTTTTCTTCCAGTTCTTCCTTTAGGAAGGGAAATGTCTGCCTGGTACCTAACCCATCATTGCACTTTGAAAGCAGAATAGTTGTGACCTGGATTTCATAGGTCCATTGCTGGGGGGGAAATGTTACTCCAAATGGAACAGATCCAGGATCTTATCCATCATGGATTTAGATTTTTCAGAAGATGAGATTTTTTTATTTCAGATCTGACGCTGGCATGGATAAAGCAGCTTGAGGAAAATGGTGAGGTGGAATGTGAAAGAAGTGAAAATGGCATGAATTTTGAGGGGCTTTAACCCCTAAAATTAGATCTCGTTTTATGGATTCAATTATATCCCCAAAGGCACAGAGGCAAGAACGGGAAAATCATAGTATTTTAAGGTTATTGCAATATACTAAAAACAAACTACCAAAGGAAACCAAACTCACTGCCATCAATTAATTCCACTGACAATTCCAGCTGACAGTGGCCCTCTAGGGCCGAGCAGAACTGCCCCGGGGGTTCTGAGACGTAAATCTCTATGGGAGTGGACAGCCTCCTCGGTCTCCCTCAGAGAGGCCGGACCTTGTGGTTAGCGGCCCCATGCATAGCCCACTTCACCACCTGGGCTCCTGCTTATCATATACATTAAGTGGTATATCACTGGAAAGTAGATGCTGATGACTTTATTTTTTAAAAAGTTAAGTACCCTACACACAATAAATATTTCAAAAAACGATTTATTGCATGAAAATTGACAGTTTGCTGAGATTATGGTTTGCCTAAAATAAGCCTTATTAGGCTTGTTGACAAATAAACCTAAAATGTATAAATGTCTTTTTAATATGTCAAAAAAGATTCTTACCAAAGCAGAATAAATGTGCAAACATCGGTAAACAGGGGAGAAATCAACAAGCTCCTGAACAGTTAAAACCTGAAAAATAAAACCATTGTTTTAAAATTGTAAGTTAGAACTACTAATCTTTATGGGAAAATGTAAAGTTAAACATAGACAAGGAGATGACTGAACCACATACTGAAATGCATTCACTTATTGTATGAGTTCACAGAGAGCACACACTATAAACAAAGCCTTCTTAATTTTGTCTTTATTTTTGTTCAGTTCATTCTTAACATGCTTATCATTATTGTTGGTGATTCTAAAGCAAGATGTGTGTATTATAAAGTAATAAGGTAAATATTATATATAATATGAAGGACCCCTATTGGTGCAATGGTTAAGGGCTTGGCTGTCATCTGAAACGTGGGTGGTTTGAATATACTCAATTATTCTGTGGGAGAAATGCACGGTGATCCGCTTCCATAAAGATTTAAAAACACAGTAGCAGCCAAGCCTATAAAAAGAGTGTAACTGCTCCCCGGGTTTCTTTACGAGAGCAGACGCCCCATTTTTCTTCTACATTGTGGCGTGTGGGTTCCAACCTCAGACGGGTGTGCAGTCAGCAGCTCAGAGTGCTATGACACCAGGGCTCTGTTCCTTTTCCGTGAGTAGCTAAATAATGAGATTACCTACCATTTCATCAAATTAAAGTTAACAGCATTAGTACTTAATGGCCCACTGAAAGAGAAATAAATGCTCTCAATGGAAACTATCAATTTTAATGTGGATCCTGAATTATGAGATGTTATAATGTGAAAAAATGCACCTTTGGATGATGAAGTGTAGCAGTATAAAGTTGGTCAAACGAGAAATACAAGAGCACCTTTAAGGGAACATATTTCTGTTCTCACGAATCCCAAAGTGGACTTAAATTATTTTCATAATATAACTTAACTGCAAGGGAGCTTCAAAAAGTTTGTGGAATAGGAGAGGGTGAGAGGGACCAGACTTCAATGTGAAAGCAACATATCAGCGTGAAGCAGGGAACCAATAGAGAGGTCTGTGGGCAGTCCCAATCCCAACTACATGGACACCCACCCCACCCCAAGAAGAATGCACTTCAAAGGACAGCACCGAAGCTACAGCTCAGGGAAGGGGGTGCATCTGATCAGAGCACACGAGCAAAAGAAGAGGGAAAGAGAAAGAGTGGAACACATCTTGGCCCACCAAGCCCTGAGGACGATATTCCTGATCAGAGCAGCAGCCAATACACAGAGAGGACCATAGGGCTGGCCCCACCACGAGACACAACGTCCCTCACTGACCCATAGAGCTACGGGGAATAACAATGGAAACACAGTGCGGGAACTGTGCCCAACCTGACCCCACCACACTGGGGCAAAACGCTAAGGGCGTGCAACAGAGCAGCAAGGGGAGCAAAGCAATGAAGTCCTCGGGGAATACCAAAAGTAGACGTTGGGGTCAGGGCATGGCCCCCCATCAGACTGGACCGGAAAACACTCCTAAAGGTCAACAAATAGACCTGGAACTATTTATAGTCTTGTCTTTTTTTTGTCGTTGGTTTTTTTAGTTGTTGTTGTTTTGGGTTTTTTTTCTTTTGTTGCTTTGTTTTACTCTGTCTTGTTTTTGTGTTAACTATTGTTTCTGCATGTCTATCGAGATAAAATAGGCGAGATAAACAATCTGGAGGAGAAAACAATGGGACCAACGGTTCTGGGGGGACATAGGAAAGGGAGAGGCAGGGAAAATGAAGGGGGGTGTCAACTAACCCAGGGACAAGGGAACACCAAGTGATTAAAATTGATGATGAAGAGGGTATAGGATGTCTGGTGGGGCTTGATCAAGGGCAATATAGCTGAGAGGAATTACTGAAATCCAAATGAGTCTACAGCTATACCACCCTGAATGCGCCCAATCTTGTCTGAAATTCAAATGAATGTCAAACAAGACAGTGGGACAAGAAGAAAGGAAAAGAAAATAGAGGAAAGAACTAGGAGGCAAAGGACATTTATAAAGGTCTAAATACAGACATGTACATATGTAAGTATATATATGATGATGGGGGAAATAGATCTATGTGCATTTATTTATTTGTTAAGTATTAAGGTAGCAGATGGACATTGGGCCTCTACTCAAGTATTCCCTCAAAGAAAGAACACTTTGTTCTAATAACCTGGCATTCTGTGATGCTCACCTTCCTGACACAATCACTGAAGACAAAATGAGTACATAAGCAAATGTGGTGAAGAAAGCTGATGGTGCCTGGCTATCAAAAGATATAACATCTGGGATCTTAAACGCTGGAAGATAAATAAGCAGCCATCTAGCTGAGAAGCAACAAAGGCCACATGGAAGAAGCACACCAGCCTGTGTGATGAGGTGTCGATGGGATCAGGTATCAGGCATCAAAGACCCTGAACAAAAAATCATTATCAGTGTGAGTGAGGGGCAGTGCAGAGCGGAGACCCAAAGCCCATCTATAGACAATTGGACATCCCCTTACGGAAGGATCACAAAGAAGAAACAAGCCAGTCAGGGTGTAGTCTAGCACCGATGAAACATACAACTTTCCTGTAGTTCTTTAATGCTTATTCCCCCCCACTATCATGATCCCAATTCTACCTTACAAATCCAGCTAGACCAAAGCATGTACACTGGTACAGATAAGAGCTGGAAACACAGGGAATCCAGTACAGATAAACCCCTCAGGACCAACAATGAGAGTAGCGATACCAGGAGGGTAAGGGGAAGGTGCGGGGAGAAGGGGTTAACCAATCACAAGGATCTACATATAACTCCCTCCCAGGGGGGCAGACAACAGAAAAGTGGATGAAGGGGGACACTGGTCAGCGTAAGACATGGAAAAAAATTTATATGGAAAATAAAATATGTAAACAGAAAACTGGCACATATGCAATAGCAATAACAGGGATACTAAGTGAATTCAAAGGAAAAGGTAAAGGTGAGCTCAACATAAGAGTTCTTGGAGAGAATAAAAGACGTAATAGAAGTAGAAAACATATCCATATCCAGAAGATAAAAGAAAGTCATTATTTAAGAACAATTTAAAGAAATCCCTTCAGAAGCCTGAAGGCACTCAGCTGCAACCGGAAAGCCATTTGAACCCACCCAGTGGGTCCAAGGGAGGAAGATTTACCGTCTGCTGCCATGACGATGACGGCCTAGACAACCCCCAGAGCATTCAGCTCTGCGGCATGAGCTGGCTAAGAGTCAAAGTTAACGCAATAGCACCTAACAACAGTATGTTTATTAGAACCTAATTTTAAGAAATAAATAAATCTTAATTTTGATCCTATTAGAATTACTTCATAGTATCTCACCACCAATAGAAACTAAATTGTTGGCTATCCAGAATTAGTCCAAATAGCAAAGTCAAACTATCACAAAATTAAAATTAAATGTAATAAACGAGTGACCACTACAAAAAATCAATAGCTTTATATTTGTATTGCTAGTTATGGTAAACACCTAGATTCACTTATCTGTGACTTACACATATAATCGATAATATAGCCTGTGTAGCTATGAAGTGATACAATCTAACATTTCACATAACTCCATGGTGGTAAAATCTCATAAAAAATAAGCTTAACTTATTATACATGGGAAGACTGAGAACCACATAGATATGCACTATAAAAAATAGATAAATTCTATTACCTCTTCTTCATTCTCATCCTCTTCCTCAAGTGCATGCTTTAATAAAGTTTCATGCCTCTGTTCTGAAATTCTATCATTTATATATATATTCTTCCCAAATTTTACATTATTTTGTTTCTGCAAAGCCACACTGAAAGTTTTCTGCTGCTGTGCCTATTTTGAAAGAAGAGACATTCAGGTTATTTTAAAACTTATTAAGGTCAAAATTGGTTATAAAATTTGTTCATAAAACTTATCTTTTTAATATCTATGGGCATAGGATCTGTAGTGATACATTTTTAAATTCATGATTCTTCCTTTTTAAAAATATTCTGGTAGAGGTTTATCAATTTTATTTGAGAGAATAAGAACCCACTTTTGGTTTAGTCATTCTCCCTAGTTTGTTTTCTATTTATTAGGGAGTTATCTGTTATCTTTACCATGCCCTCCCTTCTACTTTGTCTAATTGGCTATTGTTTCTCTAGCTTCTTGAGATGGATATTTAGATAATTAATTTCTGCCTTTATTTTCTAATTTATACATTTAAGACTGTAAATGTATCATTAACACACTTTTTGCTGTATCCTATATACCTTCATAGGTTTTATTTTCATTATAAGTCAGTTCAAAATACCTTCTGATTTCAATTGTGCTTTCCTCATTGATCCATGGATTATCTAGATGTTTCTTTCCTAATTGCCAAGCCCCCATTAAGAGTTACAGTCTCTGAAACTCACAGGGCAATTCTTCCCCGTGCTTTGGGGTCGTCATGAATTGACAGCAACTCGATGACGTTGGAACTTACTCGCAGTCTTTATCTTTGCAGGCTACCAAGCTAATATTTCAACCCTAACATATCACTGATGGAAAGTTCCTACTCTTCCCACACCTAATCCGTCATTATTCCTAAGAGAGAGAAAATGGCCTAAGGCTAGTGTCCACCTAAAAGAACAACAGAGGGATGGCCAGCAGGATCCAGTCCCAGAGTGACAAGGGTAAACACCTGAACTAGTAGCCTAAAGGTTGGAGGCCGAAGCCACCAGAAACACCGTGGCAATAAGACCTGTGATCTGTTGCAAAAGGGCCCAATCTTGAAAACCCTCTGGAACAGCTCGGCTCTGCACACATGGGGACACCACGAGGCAGAGGCCACGCAATGGCAACTCACATGAGCCTGACTTTGGTCTTACTTTGTAGTGTCTGTTGATTTACAGCACATAAAGGTCTTGACTTTGCCAACCAAATCTTTCATTAAATTGAGCAAACGGTTGTTACTGTTCATGGTGGCTACCGAGGCAGCTCTGATTCATGGGGACCTTCTGCATGACAGAATGGACCTCTGCCGGGCCCTGGGCTATGTGAGACCATTCTTAGACAGTTGTATCAAAGCACTGCATGCGGAGTTTCTCTTGTTTTCACTGAGCCTCCACTTTACCAGACACAATGCCCTTTGTAGTGGCTGGTCTTTCCTGATGACACGTCTAAAGTCAGCAAAACAGAAAATAAAGATCTTGATTTTTTCAACCAAGTATTTCATTAAATTGAACAAACGGTTGGTATTGTTTGTAGTGGCCATCGAGGCAGTGCTGACGAATGACAACCTAGGTAAAACAGAATACTCTGAGGCACATTCTCTGTGATACAGGCTGGCTGTACTTCCTCTCAAATGGGTTCAATTGTTCTTCTGGTGGGGGGGCATTAGGTGCAATTAAGTCTGCTCCAACCCAGAATGAAACACTACACAGTCCTATGCCACCCTCACAATTGTTCCTTTGTGTGAGCCCATTGTTTTGACCACTGTGCCAATCCCTATTGTCAAAGGCCTTCCTATTTTTCACCACCCCTCCACTGTACCAAGCACGATGTCCTTCTCCAAGGACTGGTCTCTCCTGACAGTATGTCCAAAGCATGTAAAACAAAGTCTGCCATCCTTGCCTCTTCGGAGCACTCTGGACCTGACTACTTCTAATGGGATCGGTTTGTTCTTTTCACAGTCCATGGTACTTTCAGTATTCTTCTCCAGCCCCACAATTCGATGCTTCAATTCTTCTGCAGTCTTCCTTAGTCAAGATCCAACTCTCTGGTTTGGGTCAGGCATACCTTAGTCCTCAAAGTAATATCCTTGGTTTTTTAATACTCAATAAAGAGGTCTGGTGCAGCAGATGTACCTAATGCAGGAAGTCTTTTGATCTCTTGACTGCTGCTTCCATGAGCAATGATTGTGGATCCAAAGTAAGACAAAATTCTTGACGTCAACCTTTTCTCCATTTATCAGGGTACCTATTGGCCTAGTTGTGAGGATTTTAGTCTTCCTTATATTGAGCAGTAATCCACACTGCAGCCTTCAATCCTTGATCTTCATCAGCAAGTGCTTCAATGTCTCCTCACTTGCAGCCAAAAAGGTTGCCATCTGCATATCATAGGCTGTTAACAAGCCTCCAATCCTGACGCCACACTCTTCTTCATGTAATCCAGCATCTCTGATGTGCTAAGCACACAGATGGAACACGTATGGTGAGAGGATACAACTTGATGCACACCTCTCCTGATTTTAAATAATGCAGTACTCCCTTGTTCTGTTGCTCAACTGCCTTTTGATCCATGTACCAGTTCCGGATAAGCACAATAAAGTGTTCCGGAATTCTCATTCTTCTCATGGTGATCCAGTTTATTATTGGTCCACACAGTTTGCATAGTCAATGAAACACAAATGAGTGTCTTTCTTGTATGCGCTACTTTGAGCCAAGATCCATCTGACAGCAGCATTGATATCCCGTGCTCCACATTCTCTTCTGAATCCGGACTGAACTTATGACAGTTCTGCTGGTAGTTCATGTACATTCAATTTTCTTCAGCAACACAATTTGAATTCTTCTGTCTTCCATTTTCATTGTCCAGCTTTGCAGGCATATAAAGTGACGGAAAAGACATGGTTTCAGTCCAGTGCAAATTAATCATCCAAGTGCTATCTTGGATTCATATTTTTAATAGGTTTTATTCAGATTTTCCAATATGTTATTTGGTTTCTTGACTACTGCTTCCATAGGCATTGAGTCTTGATCTAAGTAAATTAAATCCTTGACAACTTCAAATTCTTTGCTACTGATCATGAAGCTGAACAAAAGACACTATCAAAAACAATTCCAAATCTAAACTGCTATATTCTACCTACTCACTGTCATTGAGTCAATTCTGACTCACAGTAATCCAATAGGACAGAGTGGAACTGCCCCTGGGGGATTCCAAGACTAACTCTTTACGGGAGTAGAAAGCCTTGTCTTACTCCCACCAAGTGCCTGGTGGTTTTGAACTGCTGACCTTGAAGTTAGCAGCCCACTAAAGTAACCACTACACCACCACGCACCTACCTACAAGTAAAGAAGAGTTAGTTACAACTGAAAATAAAATTAGTTTTATTTTCAAAAATAAAATTTTGAAAAGTTTGACTTTTCAAAGAACATAGTCCACTACAGATGCTATAGTATTATTAGTTTCCACTTTGAGTAAAAAAAATTCTATTAAAATTTTTTCAAAGTCGCTACACACTCAAAGTAAGCAATCAGCTAAGAAAGGCTAATTAACATGAAGTAGCTAAATTTATACTAGTGTATAGATTTAGAACAATTAATGGAAGCATAATAGGATTATCTGATTTATAAATAATCCTCATTTACAAATAATCCTTTAAGATGTTAAAACAGGGAGAAAGTTTATATACTGGATTCTAACTTCCTCTGATTTGACAATATTGGGGTGCATATTTACTTCTTTAATTAAAAAAATACAGTTTCTCCAAAAGAATCTGTAGTTTGGGGGGGGGGGATAAGGAGTTAAGTATACTAAGCATTGTTATATTTATGGAACATTATGCTTATTTGGAGTTCTAACAGCTCTCATAAATTTGACTTATGCTATATTCATTTTTAAGCTTTCTATTATTAAAAATATATTGTAAACAAAGTAAACAGATCAGTATAATGTATATCTATGTGTTTATCAACAATTAATACTTTTTTCCAATTAATACTTCTTAGTCTTCTTCCACATCTTTACCACTCCCCCCGACACACACCCCAGTGATTTTCTACAATTACCTCTGTGCTAGGATTTATACACACTGAAATGCATAAATCTTATATACACAATTTTAAAAAATCAATACTAGAAGTCCTCAAAGTGTGAAGGAGTTCCAGTCTTAAATCTGTCTTTTAAATCATGTGACTAAGTTGGAACAGTTAGGTACAATTAATGTTAGTCACATGGTTGTCTTAGTATATAGGATAACTTTCTATCTATAAAGAGTTAAAGAAGTACTTCCAGATACACTAAAACATCTTTAATTAATACAGTAATCATTGCTATCAATGTATTGATACTAATCAATATAGTAGCAATGACAATTTTTAATGCACATAACATTCAATGTGCCGGTTTGTTGCTCTGAGCCATTATATGCTGCCAGGGATGTAGGCAATGAAGAAGCCTTAGAAGGCCTATGGCAGGCCAGGGCTCAGCCATGGCCACCTCTGATAGCAGTGGCAAGGATCAAGTCCCTCTGACATCCAGGCTTCCCTCCCTGCCATCCCCAGTCAAAGCCTAGTCTTCACATGCAGCCTCCCGCCCAGCCCCAAGGCGCAGAAGAATCTCAAACTGGCTCCTAGGCTGTGGCGGAGGCACAGCACCACTGGCCACCTTGCACCCCTATTGCTTCCAAGTCAGCTTGAGGCCGGTGTCCCGGGATCTGAGTCCAAGTCCAGGTGGGTGCCAAGGGCAGGGAGGTGGAGGGAACAACCCCCGGCTGCTGCAGGACAAGTCAGAGTAGCAAGGTGGGATGCCACTGGACTCCTTCTCGGGCAGTCTCTGGGTTTGCACTCCAGGGGAGATTCACCTATCTAGGAGCTGCACCTAGGTGAGGTCATTCGTAACCCAGGATTGCTGTAGAGTCCTGTGGAGGCTAGCAGTGGGAAATGCAGGTGTGGGCAGGGCCATGCTACCACCGAAGGCTCTAGAGAAGAATCCTCGGGCTTCTCCAAAGCTTTGGGGAGTGGTGGGCAACGCGTGGCGTTTTCTGTTCGCAGTTGCATCACTCCAGCCCCCGCTTTCGCACGCTCTTCTCTCCTGTGTAGATCTCTCTCTCAGCCAGTGGTTCCCCACCTTCCTCAGGCCGCGACCCTTTCATACAGGTCCTCAGGTTGTGGTGACCCCCAACCATACAATTATTGTCGTTGCTACTTCAGAACTGTCATTTTGCTACTGTTATTATGAATCATCATGTAAATATCTGATAGGCAGGATGTATTTTCATTGTTACAAATTGAACATAATTAAAGCATAGTGATTAATCACAAAAATAATGTCATTATATATTGTGAAAATTTTATTTCTAATGACTAAGATATGAAATTGTGTCTTGAAGTATGGTGTAGCATGGGTAACAGTCTTAATATAACTACACTGCTACATTTTGCAACAGTATTCGTAAAAAGCTAACTTCAGCTCGAAGGTTGAGATAGCTTTTTTCTCACAAGATCAGCAATATCTGCATGTGGGCAGACTGCCTGGAGATGATGGAGAAGCTGTGTCTCAGTTCCTAAAACCTTCCGTAATACATATTTTCCGATGGTCTTAGGTAACCCACAGGTTGAGAACAGCTGTCTTATGCACTTTCCCCTAATGAGGATATCAGTTACTGGACTTAGGGGACTACCCTACTCTAGGATGACCTCACCTTAAAATGATCATATCTACAAAGATGCCATTTCCAAATAAGGTTACATTCACAGGTACTCAGGCCCAATTTGAAACAGCTTTAGGGGTGGGTGGGAAGGGAGACAATGTCAGTTACAAATATACAATGAACTACACCCCCATCTAAATTTACACCATTTCCACCTTTCTAAAACACTCCCTTAAGTCCCTCCTCAATTTCCCCACCCAGAGGCAACCACTATTCTTTTCTCCACCCTCACTTAGTTTTAGCCCCTTTAGAACTACATATAAATGGAACCACCATGCATGTTCTCTGTGTGTCCATCTTCTGGTGGACAGAACAGTAGCTGGAAGATTCAAAAATGTTGCCTATATTCGGCACTTCATGCCTTTTGGTGATTATCTAATCAGCTACTGTCCAAGTAGTGCAGTTTGTGTGTACAGTCTCTTTTTGGTAGCATTCCCCACCCCCCAGTTTTGGTTCTTGTGAACAAAGCTGCAAGGGACATTGTACAGCCATGTTTTCGCCTCCCATTGGCAAACGTGTCAGAGCGAAATTGCCGCCTCAAAGGGTAGGTGCATATAAACTGCCCCATCTTTTATCCCATCTGTTTTGTCATTACTAAATTTTAGAATTTTAAAATCTGAAGTTTATATATATATTTTTTTAAAGAGAGCAATTTAGGGCTTTAGCATAGGATGGCTCCTATTTCCTTAAAAGGCTGCCATTAAAAAAAAAAAAAGGCTGCCATCTCTCAGCTAATTTTATAGCAGATCGGACAGCTGGCAAAGGTGAAAGTAACCCCCAAGGAAGAAATGGGGAGCTGATATCAGGGACTCAAGTGGGAAGAGAATGCTTTGAAAATGATGATGGCGGCATATGTGCAAATGTGCTTGGCATATTGGAGGAATGTATGGATTGTGATAAGAGATGTGAGAGCCCCCAATAAAAGTGTTTTTTTTTTTAAAAAAGTAACACCTCAAAATGAGAAAAATTACTGAGAGTTTGTGCAGTAATTGATGAATTCAAATATTTACTTTACTTAACAAAGGAATAACTACAACTGAAGAAAACATTAATAAAATCCACTCTAATAACAGACGAAGAAAGATAATGGGTAAAAGTAAGCATTTTATGCAAATAAAAGAGAATAAATTTGGTACACAATCTACTTTCTAGAATACTAAATAGTATTTAAATTAAAATTCGCCTTTGAAATCTCACCTGTTTCATAGCAGTTTCACCTATTTTGTCAGAATGTTTTCGAATACTTTCCAAAAAGTCTTTGAGATCAGACATGGAGATTTCTTTAATATTTTCACGGAGTTTAGGAAGATTTTCTATCATTAGCTGACAAAACCGGTATTGACTAACTCGAGGGAAGTACACATTCTCTAATTGTTCCATTGTTTTTAGAGCAGAGTAATACCTGTTGAAGTTTAAGAAGACATTAAAAGTTCTTATTACATTAATTGTACAAGCTCACACAATTCATTAATTCAACACTCCCATCAAAAAGACATATAGTTAAAAATGAATAAAATTAGCAGTTACTTATATTTAATAAACAAAAATTATAAACCATAAATTGCAGGATGAAAATTCATGGATTACATGAACATATTTAATTTCCTGTTTTACTTATTTCAAGTCATCTAAGCTTATAATATCAAAAGCATTCTCATAATCACAAACCTTAAATATGAGTTATAATATTTAGTTATGGGATGTATGGTTTCATAATACTTCCCCCATACATGTATCACCACCTCGACCACCAACAACAAAAATACATAGCACACACTTAATTCTAGCAAAATTTGCTTCAAGGGACTTAAAAAAAATACTATTTAAGGGAATTAGAATCACTAAACGTGTCACAAAAACTGGGCACAAAAGCACTGGAAGAGCATTTTTTCAGTTCAATAAATATTCACGGAATGCCTACTGTTTATATGGCACTGGGTGGCAAGCTCTGGAGCCCTGGTGGCGTATAGTGGCTTACGAGTTTAGCTGCTAACCTCAAGGTCAGCATTTTGAATCTACCAGCTGTCCCGCAGGACAAAGAGGAGGCTTTCTAATCCCATAAACAGTTAGTCTTGGAAACTCTTTAGGGGGCAGTTCTACTCTTGTCCTACAGGGTCATGATGAGTTGAAGTCAACTCGACAGCCCTGAATGTGACAAGCTAAGTACACAGTAAGTAGTAAAGTACCATCTGTGCAATAGAGAAACTGCAAAGGCTTTCAGGTACATACTTGTTCTTTAGGCTTTTATGAGGTACCTGGCAGTTACTATTATTAATATTAATATTCTATAATGTAATATTATTGACATTCTAAAATTGAAATACAGAGTAAGCATATAATCTGACCAACCAAAAAACAAAACACACAAAAAAAACCACTACCCCAACCCATAATGACTGCAGAGGCCAAAGAAGAATGGTTCCTTTGGATTTCCAAGACAAGACTATAACTCTTTACAAGAACAGCTGGCCTCATCTTTCTCCTATTGAGTGTCTGCTGAGTTTGAACTGCTGACCTTGCAGTTAGCAGTCTAATGCTTACCCAGTACACCCCCAGGTGACCATAATTAACATAATCACTTAATAGCAAGGATACCATAATTGCTTAAAACAAAAATGAGCATTTCCAAAATTGTCAGCATCCTTCAAATAATACCCAACACTACAACACTACACATCTGTTTGAAAGTAGCTGGAGGATTTATAAGGAACCCTGGGTAGTACAAATGGTTTCATGCCCAGCTACTAACCAACACACAGGAGGTTCAAATCCACCTACAGCTGCCTTAAAGGAAAGGCTGATGATTTCCGTTACCACTTTCATTGAAAACCCTATGGACAGGTCCACACAGTGGCTGGAACAATGGGCTCCGAGATAAGAACAACTGTGGGGGTGGCACCAGCCTGGGCAGCATGTCACTCTGTGGTTCAGAGGGCTGCTAGGAGGAGGGACCAACTCGTTGGCACTATAAACAACATCGCCCTGAGTTGGAAAAGATTTGACAGAAACCAATTTAGTTTTTTACAGTAAAAGGAGTTCTGAAAGTTAATGAAATAGTATTCTGTGAATTTCCACTGAAGTCAGATAGACTCATGGGGAACATTATTTATAAAGAATTAAAAAGGTAATACATAAATAAGTTTAAAAGATTACTGTCTACTAAGTTCAAATTCTATTTAAAGATACCTATTGGTTCTTAGCCAGTATGCTCAGACATAGAGTAAATTTTGCCACTTGTTCTCCCCAAGTATCATGTAATGTAACACTGGACAATGAGCTCTTCAGGTTAGAAAGCCCTCAAAATACGACTGAAGAAAAGCTGCCTCTTCAAAGTGGAGACGACTTTGCTGATGTAGATACAGTAAAGCTTTCATTTACTGATGGGACGTGACTCCAAATGAGAAAAAAAAAGCTACAAATATTCATTAATAATCGGAGTGTGGAATCTAGGAAAACTAGCAGGTATCAAAAATGAAATTAAATGCATAAAGATCAATATCCTAGGCTGAGCTTGGCTATTTTTAATTGAATAATCCCATGGTCTACTAGGCCAAGAATGACAAATTAAATCTAAACAGCATTGTAATTCATCCTCAAAAATACCATTTCAAGATTTATCCTAAAGTACAAGACTGTCTATGATCAGATAATATCCATACACTCACAACAACAATTATTCACATTGACACACCAACCACGGATGTAAAGATGAAGAAATTAAAAATTCTTACCAATCTCTGTGGGTCAGAAATTGATCACATGCAATCAAAAACATTGATAATTACTGATTTCTGAATGAGACGGTGAAATATATAGAATAAGGATCAGTAGCTGGAATATATGGGCTTGATAGAAACAATGCCAGAGATCGCATGTTAGAATTTTTCATGACCTATGACACTTATTGCAAATCACCTTTTTCCAACAACATAAACACTATCTATAAGACACTGGATCTCACCGGATGGATACAAATCAATTGTATCTTTGGAAAGATCCATTGGAAAATGGCAATATCATCAATCAGAACAAGGTCAAAGGCCATCAATTCTTCATCAACAAGTTTAAGCTGCAGCTGAAGGAAATTAAAACAAGTCCATGAGATGCAAAATACAACTTTGAAGGCACCCCTCCTGAATTCAGAGACCATCTCAAAAAAGAAGAATATATTGGACCCACTGAACTCTAATAACAGAGCACCAGATAAGTTGGGATGACATCAAGGCTATCAAACTCGTAGAAAGCAAGAAGTCATTTAAAAGACAGGAAAGAGAGAAAAGCCAAAATGAATGTCAGAAGAGACTCGACATCTTACTATCCAATGTAAAGTGGCTAAAGTGAATGAAAGAAATGATGAAGTAAAGAGCAGAACAAGAGACTTCGAAGGGCAGCTGAAAAACGACAAAGCCCTATAATGAAATGTACAAAGACCTAACGGGAAGAATCCACTCAGCATTCCTCAAGTTGTAAGAAGTGAAGAAAATTTTCAAACCTTGAGTTGCAATATTAGAGTATTCCTTAGGACCAATCATGCGTTTTTAACTGAATTTCTTTTCAGCCCTTGGTGACCTAGGCCCCATACAATAGGCTACCTGGACTTTAGATTTTAGTCTTCTCAAGGTATAGAGCATACATATTACATAAGCCACATCAGAAGGATCTGAGTCAGAAAGCCCAGTAAGTGAAACTGGACTTCACCTTAAACGCACCTGTTGCTGCTTCCAAGAACGGCTCTGTTCCTTTGCACTTAAGGTGAAACCAACCAGTGAGAGAAGACAAGAAGTGCCCGTCTCTGCTTTCAGCCCGAATCCGTCTCACAGCAGCAACGACTGCCCCCATTACATGTCTTCTTCCGAACCTACCGTGAATTTCTGGCAGCAACCGATTTAGCTGCTGCTGCAACTGGCTTAGAATTATCTCCAGCCAAATGTTATCCACTTAAATGTGATTTCAGTAATATTGTTTGATAATTTCCAGTCAAGAAACCAAATGACACATTGCATTGGGAAAAAGTACTTTTTCAAGTGTTAAAAAGCAAGTATGCCACCTGGACAATTAAGGTGTGAGTTTTTTGGTATGTTTTTGCTTTTCAGCAATTAAAAAAAAAAAAGATTTTTTATTAAAAACAATTATAAAAGAAACCAACTTACCTTTTTGCACTCATTTGTTCTTTGAGCTTACTGTACATTTCCAACACTGCATTAAAAAATATATGACATATTTTAGCTTTCTAACAGAAATAAAATATTTTGAGACATGAAAATCAAACAGAAGTGTATATTATGAACTAATTAGAATTTACTAACATTATAAATATTGCATTTCAAGTAAATGAAATTAGGTTGTAATTTCCAATTTCTACCTACACTGAACAGTATAGCAGAAACCTGGGGCACTTTTGTATATGGCCGATCCATATCAATCAGAATCCACTGGATGGAAGCTGTCATAACTGATGCAGTAGCACAGTGTCACATATCTAGAGCTTACTAGCACCTCGTCCCTGCAGTCGAAATGGGAGTTCAGGCTTTAGTTAGTTGACAGAAGCAGCTGAATGATAGGCAGATTGAGTTTGATGAAATATACCAAGTAAAATAACACTAGTCACAAAATTTTATAGGAAAGGAAAATCTCAAAAGTTTACAACAAAATAGGTGTACACTGATGTTTATTGCAGCAGTATTCACAACAGCCCAAGACAAATGGCCCACATCTTTCAAATGATGAATGGAGAAAATGTGATATATCCATATAATGGAATACTGTTCTGCCATTAAGAGAAATGAAGTTCGGATACATACTACAACTGGGGTGAACCTTGAAAACATGATGAGTGAAATATGTCAGGTCAGCCAAAAAGCACAGATATTGTGCAATCCCACTTACATGAAAAAGGCCAATGGAAACACACCAACATTTATTAGTGGTTACCAGAGGTAGGCAAGAAGTCTTCCAAACATTACGTTGAGTGAAGTCAGATGCAAAAGGGTATTATTACAGGATCCCATTTACATGAAATATGTAAAATAGGCAAATGCAGAAAGACAAAACATATTTTTAAAATGTCAAAATCTGCAACCAGCTCCTGTGTTCTGATCTCACAGGGCCTGTTCTCATCATCTCCAGTGTGGTTTTACCAGGAGACATCATGCTTAGTAAACCAGAAGGTCACCTGGACAAGATAGAGCGATACAGTTGGCTGCGACAATGGGCTCCAACATGCCCACAACTGTAAGGATGGCTCAGGACCAGGCGGTGTTTTGCTCTGTTGTACACGTGTCACTATGAGTTAGAACCAACTTAACAGCACTTAACAACAAGAAGGCTGTGGGGGTTGGGATGATGCGATTCTGCTACAGAGTTCTGAGTTGGTTTGAGGTAATGAAAATTAATAGTGTTGTTGGTTGCACAACATGACGAATGTAATGTCATGAATCATGTATTTTTTAAATGGCCCAAACGGCAAATGTATTGCTAGATATATATTTTACTACCATTTAAAAAACATTTAAGCTTACAGCAGAGTGTGAATTATAATGAAAAGCACTACAATGAACTAAATATGATAAAGCATCTTTATTCATTTTATTAACCTTTTAATCAAAGATCCAGAAATGTAATTATTTAAAAAGTATAAGTTACAACAACATAACAAACTGACACCAAAAAGGATTTAATGTAATCTTGTAGATTCACTGATCCTTAGACTTTCCCATCATAAAGTGAAGACTACATTATTTTATCGGCAGATTAAGCAGCTCATGTTGTCGTACACCAGAGAAAACATGTTCCCTGGCTTTTGTACAGTCATCGCTGCGACTCCCCAGGTCTTTAACAGTTACAACAGGTGTCTACATGTCTGGAAACGAAAGAAACTTCACAGGGCCATATTATTATCTCTAATGTAACCCCTATATTGCAATGTATCATAGTGATCCTACAGGACAGGGTAGAACTGTCCCTATGGGTTTCCAAGACTGTAACTCTTTGCAGAAGTACAATGCCTCATCTTTCTTTCTCGGAGCAGCCGGTGGTTTCAAACTGTTGACCTCATGGCTGGTAGCAGAAGGCTACCTCATTAGGGCTCCCTATGAGTGGGAATTGACTTGATGGCAGTGAGTTTGGATTTGGTTATCACAATGCAACTTTTCTCACACTTGCAGCCAAAGCTTTAGGGTGAACATAAAACTTGGAGCAAAAGGAGCCCCAGTGGCACTGTTGGGTAAGCAATAGACCATCTAACTACAAGATCAGGGGTTCAAACCTACCAGCTGCTTCTCAGTAGGAAGTTGAGCCTAGTTGCTCTCATAAAGACTTACAGCCTTGGAAATCCTATACAGGGTCACTAAGAGTTGGAGTCAACTTGATGCAATGGGCTTGGGGTTCTTTGTTTTAGATGCAGAAAATATTTTTAAAGTCTCCTGGCTTTACCTCCACAGTGCATGTAAACTTCACACCTGTCATAATTATTTTCATGTAAAAATGCCTCCTCAAAAACAGTCATGTAAAATGAATGCACTAGTAAAACACACCATTTCTATAAGAAGTGTTCCTATATCTATGTATGTTCTTATCTCTATTCTATAAGAATATTCTTACATCCCCCTCACAGTCTTCCTAAGCCAGCGCAGAATTCGGCAATTGTAGGCTGGTTAACTTATCTTTTATTCACACTAGGTAGGTTGTAGGATTCTTTAGAGCCATTTCAACCTTACATTTTCCACCCCACCACAAAGCCTGAAACAAGAGTCTGGTTCAGAATGGTCACTTGGGTACAAGGAGCGAGCAAAAAGGACGTAGTTCTGGCCATGGCTATTTGGCACACAATGTTCACATGACCTCAGAGCGTCTGCTCAGGCTGGAAACAAGCAGCGCTAACAAAAAGCAACCTCTACTTCCTTTCATTCCTCTGTTTTAAATGGCCCACCAGGGAACGTACGGAATTCAGCATTTTCATTCCATCCCTACGTAATTGTTCAGGCTTATTACCACACCAGGCGGGAAGCTTTCCAACTTAGAGGCTATCTTTGTGACTACTACCATGTTTCTGATTAAGCGTCATTCTATGGATGTGGGTAGGTATCTCAACACTGAAACCTAATAGAATAAGCAGACATTTTACTTACTTACTCAAGGCAAATAGCAGACCTGGGGCCTTAGTGGTTATGCATTGAACTGCTAACTGCTAGGTCGGCAGTTCGAAACCACCTGCTGCTCCCTCCAATAACTCCCATCAAGAATTAGTCTCGGAAACCCACAGAGGCAGTTCTACTCTGCCCTATAGAGCGGCTATGAGTTGGCATCAACTTGATGGCAGTGAGTTTGGTTTTAGAATGTACAAATAGCCGTGGTTGGTCAGATATTAAACTGGGTACAAGCTCAGATAATGAAAAGCTATTCTTACAAGTCAAAAACAATAATGTAGTATTTTTTTAAGCGGCTAGTAAAATTACACTGCTGATCATTTTGACATAATTTGTATGGTCAACTAAATTCACACAAATATTATACAAAGCATCTCATTCCATTCTCCCAGATATGGAGTTTTAACCTCCTACTTAAAACAATAAAATAAGGGAATATGTGGGGCACTGAGGTGGACTGAGCTTACTATAATTAATAAAAAAATGACATCTACCTGGTTCCTCTTATTTGAACAGGATGTATCCAACTTAAAGAATATTAAATCCAGGTAAAGAAATTCCTGGTTAGTTTCTTCAGGATCTATTTGATGTCCCAGTAACATCTGAGCCCTAACAGAGAGACCAGAACCTCAAAATTCTAGTCGGTCTTTCCAGATACAGGAGGAAAGGCAAGAAGAGGAGCGGAAGACAGACAGACAGACACTCTGTGATGTTTCCTTACCTTACCGACAAAATGAAATTACAAGGAAAGCAAAATAATGCTTCAGCGACAAACAGAAAGCAACGGCATTAGACAATGGCAAGACACGTAATAAAAGACACTCATCCTCGTGGCTAAGTATTCCAAGAGGGGGGAAAAGCAGGAGGAGTGGGGGAGGGGAGATAAGATGGAACCAGAGCAGAGACAGACGGGTCACCGGGCAGAGGTGAATCAAAAGGTAGAAGCTGTTCTAGAAGACTGACAGAACAGATGATCTAACAGGGGCTTGACACGCAGAACTATGAAAATTCCAGGGTGGGGGGGCAGAAGGATTGAAGAAGGAAGATAAGGATACCCAAGAATATGAAATTTCCATAATAACGGATGACAATATGCTATCCTTAAATTCCACCAAGTCAAGCAGATTAAAGTTTAACTCACCTGGAAGGCATAATTGCAATTTTTCTACTACTGTTGTAATATTCCTCTGCTGAATTCTACAGCGAATAATATCTTCTGTTTGCACTACCACCTTGGAAAAGAAATGTTCACAGTTTGAAACGAACGGTTCAGTTGCATTCTGTTAAGTACACACGCACACACAAACTTTATCATTTTCTCACCTCTTTCCCAGCATCTTGAAACCTTCGGTTGGTATCAGTAACTTGCACCTTAAAAATAATTTCACCTTAGTTAGACAAATATGCATAAAACTGCCCTGATGTAACCGCTCACCCTTGTAATCAGACCATGCTTCATGAGAAACTTGGAACAAAGGAATGCAAATCCAAATTAACTCTACAGCTTGAACTTGAACTTTTGATTGAAAGGGGCTTTTGTTAACTTCAATTACTTATGACAGTTCTTTTTAACAGATTCTGTGGCAAACTTCTCAAATTTACTCAGGATTTTTGAACTTTCCTTGCTTCTCTAAGTCTGTCAAACAATTCAAATCACTGACCCAATTGACCACTGGTCCCTTTTTGATACGTTTCAATGAGGTCTATGTGCCATTCATTGTCTGTAGGAAATGGTGATTGCATTTTCTGGTAATTAAACATTCATACTTTGCTGAATGCAAACACTGGGTGGCTGATTAACATCAAACACAGAAACGCCGAGCCACAGCCACATGCTCATGCTGCAGGTGCAGGCAGAGCTCAACCTCACATTTTCCCACATACTAAGTGACTCATTAGGTCATCATAGTAAGGAAGCTCATTCTGCTTTATTAAAAATCTCATTAATTTTGGAACAAAGATGCTCAGTGACCTCATTGATGCTGTATTTGGTCCCTTGTTATCTGAATATCCTTTATGTTATGGTTTTCTACACAACCTTTGGGGACCAGGCCATTCTGCTGGCTAAGCTCACCAGATGTAAAGAATGATAAACAGGGCAATTCTTATAATTAAATATTTTCCATTGTAACGGTACAAATCCAGCTCTCATTTAACAAATAATTGCATTTGCTGTCAGGCAGGAAATGCAAGCCAATTTTTTAAAACAAGATTGTACATTGCTATTCATCTGAAAACAAAGTTCCAATACTTTCGGTCGTTTTGGGAACACAGTCTTTTATAATGTGTTTAAATATTTTGAGTATAGCATTTTATCCATATTAGATTGCCATTAAAAAAAAAATCTAAATCTGCAAAAAGAGCCTTTGACTGTAAGCATTTTTTTATTAAGCTCATTTTCCTACACAGAAAGAGCTCCTGTTCAGCAGCTGCTTTAGGAGAAAAAGAGACTGTAGTTACATTAGGATAACAACTGTGCTAAGAGAGCCTCACAGGCACGCCCAAAGACACACCCAGACTCCGTCCTTGCAAGCAGTGCCCTGAATAAGGTGCACACGTTTGTACAAATGCAGTACAAACCGATGCTTCAGTCAGGTAAGGCGTCCTGCCATGCGGCCTACCTTCAGTTTCTCTGCATCAGTCCTGACTTTAAGTAGCTCCGTGATGGCATCGACAAAACCTTGATGATGAAAATTGCACATCTTCTCAATTTCCTTGTCATGATTACGAATACAGGCCTCCAACTTCTCCATAAACCTCATGTGTGCATTTGGCTGGTCATCATACACAGACCTGGAAGTACATAATAAAAGGACAATAAAATTAACCTCCCAGTTCACCCCCATGTATTCTTTATTAAACCCAATCTTTGCAACAGATGGTATCTTAATTAAACCTTAGGAGCAGATCATGGTCGACAGTATCTCCTTGACTAGAATTCATGGTGAAAACGTCCTTAATTTGCTAAAGTTCTGGCCAGCAAGGCCCAGAAACAACCACCCCCCCCCCATGTGCAATGCTTCCTGCACGCTACCACACACTCTTTTTTTTAATTTTATTTATTATTATTATTTTTTTACATTTTATTAGGGGCTCATACAACTGTTATCCCAATCCATACACACATCAATTGTGTAAAGCGCATTTGTACATCGTTTCTCAAAACATTTTCTCTCCATTTAAACCCCCAACATTAGGTCCTCATTTTCCCCTCCCCCCTCCCGCCTGAGCCCTTGATAGTTTATAAATGGGTATTTTGTCATATCTTGCCCTGTCCGACGTCTCCCTTCATCCACTTTTCGGTTGTCTGTCCCCCAGGGAGGAGGTCACACACAGTTCCATGTAATCGGTTCCCTCTTTCCTACCCATTCTCCCTTTACCCTCCCTGTTTCGCCACTCACACCACTGGTCCTATAGGGCTCATCCATCCTGGATTCCCTGTATTTTCAGTTCCTATCTGTACCAGTGTACCTCCTCTGGTCTAGCCAGTCTTGCAAGATAGAATTCGAGTCATGGTAGTGGGAGCAGGGAGGAAACCTTTAGGAACTAGAGGAAAGTTGTATTTCTCATCATTGTTACATCGCACCCTGACTGGCTCATCTCCTCCCCGAGACCCCTCTGCAAGGGGATCTCCAGTGCCACACACTCTTACGGAAGAACTAACTACTGCCTCTACCATTCCACTGGGAGAAGACTACTGGAAACTCGTGCCTGGAAGGCTCTTGGAACCTGTGCGATGTACTTTTCTGCATCCTTTTCATCTGTATCCCTTGGCTGCAATAAACAGTAACCATGAGTATTAACAGCTATGTTGAATTCTGTGAGTTCAAGCCAATTGCTGAACTTGGTAGTGTCGCTGTCCCCACGCCCACCCCCAACTGTCCTCCTCCAGCTGCTGTTTCTTTGAGGCTTAGTTCAAGTTCCATTTCCCTCCAAAAGGCCTATCCCAGCCATTTTCATGACAAGTAACCTCTTTATCAGAAGGACATGTCAACTTCTAGTCATTTATGTGCATTCTGACATGTAATCGTAGTATACTTTGTATTATTATTTATGTGGCCCACATTTATACTAAATATATATTTACCTACATAGACCAAATGCTTTTATCCCAAGAGTTTTATTGGCACATAATTCTCATATCACGCAATTCAATAGTTCAATTACACCAAGAACAGTAACAAGCATCACCATAATCAGTTTTAAAAGATTTTCTTCATTCTTGTCCTCAATTATTAAGCTATAAGGTCCGGAGTTTGAACCCACCAGACGTTCCACAGGAGAAAGGTGGGGTTCTCAAGGCCTGTAAAGATTTGCAGCCTCGGAAACCCATAGGGGCAGTTCCACTCTGCCGGTGTGAATGGGAACCGACTTGATAGTAATGGGAAAAAGGAAGAAACCAGAGCCGTAAACAAACCGACCTGTGTTAGAGTAACCCAGGGCCCTGAATGCATCTACTGGAGCATTTTGCGGGACTCCCCTTTTGCTGCTGATGGAATAGGATGGGGAAACAAGACGAGAGTGTCACTGGACCCATCCTCCATTGGCAGAACCCAAAGCCTGAAGCAGGTGAACTACTTACATACCTTGCCTTCTCCTATTAAAATAGAATCTTTAGTCCCAATTTAAAAAATAAAGGTAATTTCAAAGAATTAGTACTGCAAATGAGAAAGATTATGTCCTAAACTACGGTCTCCTGACCCTTGATAACCATTTACTGGTCCAGAAAGGAATACAAACTAAATCCCAATCACCTGTCACCCACAATCCTTATCAAGGTCACTCTAAGCAGAAGTTCGCAGAAATAATGAAGTCAAGGTGCAGAAAAGTTCTACACCACAGGGATAAATTGCAATTGAAAAAGTGCTGGGCGGAAAAAAGTTCTGAAGGGTCAGGCAAGGGCCAGAGTCCAAAAATCCCTCAAATGGCAGAATATGGACTTTGGGAAGGACCCTCAAAAGCTGGGGGGAGGGTTGTTTGTTTGTTTTTAGTTTTGACGCTCACATTTTAATAGCTGCAACACTCAAAATGGAATTAGTCACTGCATCTACTTGATTTCATCCTTTACCCATTCTGAAGAAATGTACTATTCAAAGTAAGTAGTCTAGAGATTTGCTAGTTAGAGCCAGTAACACAGATCTGAGTAAATAGAGAAAGGCAGACCAGGCAGATAAGCACACGAAAACTTGAAGCAAAATCAACTCTTACCCCAGGAAACTGTTGACGCAGATGGGTATAGGAGTTACCCTCCTTTTCCCGGAAGAGGTCTATGTTTAAGCACAGAAATCATCTGGAGAGATGGTGGAAGCAGAAGGATGTGGAGAGTAGACAGATGTACACTACTTGTCGACAATTCCCACCGGAGACTAACTGGGTCCAGGAGAGAAGCCAGTCGGGTCTGTCACCGGTGCTTAAATGATGGTGATAATAAAAATACCCTAACAAACATCTGAGCACTTACTGTACACTATGTGTTTTTCATTCACTATCTCATTAAATGTTCACCACAGCTTTATGATGGAGGTCCCCTTGTCATCTTTATAGATGTCATCTGAGAAAATTAAGACATTGTCCCCAAATGGGATAGCCCAAACCCCAAACCCAAGTCGTTGCCACGGAGTTGATGCCGAGTCATAGCCAGCAACTCGACAGGCCAGCACTGAGCCTCCCAGAGGGATTCCTAGGCTGTGATCTTTTGCTCCCACCGAGTAGCTGGTGGTTCAAACCATGGCCCTTTCACAAGCAACTGAGCACTTAACCACTATGTCACCAGGGTTCCTGTAGCAGTAAGCAGTACCAGCAGTAGAGCCAGTATTTAAACCATGGGCTAGCTGGCCCCAAAGCCAGTGCTCAGACCCAGTATGATCAATAGACTCACCAAGCAGCAATGGTGACTGAGAGAGTTAAGGTTTATTGTGCCAACCTGGCCGATAAACACATGTGGAGTTCATTGAAGAGCGGAGAGATAAATGGCTCGGTGAGCCTCGCCTTTTGAGTTCTTGGGTCTCTTGCTTTCTGATGGTCAGACCAGGGTGCAGCTGCCTTAGCCAGTTCCCTGCTTCGGCTGGCAAGGCTCACTTCCTGCAAGACATCCCTGAGGAGAAGCCA